CGGCTATCACGTTTCTAAAAGCACTTAACATTCTATTTTTCTCTAAACGTATGTTTATACGGGAAGTTGATTCCCTCGGGGTGGATGCCCTGTTTTTCACTACCGCTCAAAATTATAACCTCACTGACAACGTCGCACTCATATGTTTATGTAAATGTAGATTCTATTGCATATCTACCTACATTGGGATAGCAAGGATGTTTATATAAATATGAACAATGTATATCACTAAAATAATCAGCTTTGCTTTTTGCTTTATTTATGGCATCTTCAATTACTTTGTAGTTTACAGTTTAATGATCGAGATAAAAATGTTCAGTCTCTCAGTGTCTCTGAAAGCGAGACTCGAGTCTCCGTCTCTCATCGAGTCTCTCTGGTGTCGCTGAGAGAGACTGTCGAGAGACTGTCAAAAAAACTGTTTAGTGTCTTTGAACGAGAGACTCAAGCCGCTCATAGAGATCCTCATTTCGTATCAATCTCTGAACAAGAGACTGGAATCTTTCAATGGTTAAAATTTTCTAAGTTCAACATATTTCAGGGATCCCAATCTTTCTACGAGACTCAGTCTCTCAATTTTTCAGTTTTATTCATTCAGTCTCACTGTGAGAGACTCGAATCTCTGAATTAACAATTTTATCGTTCGAGTCTCTCATACAGAGACTGTGAGAGATCCATAAAAACACCTAGGCAATAACTGAGAAACTATGAAAGACTGTGAGAGACCCTTTCAGAGACGCTAAAAGACTCTGAGAGACTGGAGAGAGACTAAAAACTTTTGTCTAGGGGATACTCTAATCTTTTAACGTTTTAAAGATTATTCCTCATTTGGTGTTAATGAATTTTGTTCTGGTGAGAAAATGTCATGCAGGTAATGTTTCGTTTTTCTCGTCCCTCTTAAATTTATTTATTTGTGTTTTCAAATAAGAAAGTTATTCGGAAGGGTTTCCTTATTTCCTCTTCTCCAATTTCACGCCGACTCGACCGGCAAATTTATTGCCGAAAATGCCTTTTATTTAAACACAAATAATTTACTCTCGTCTTGTTTAAAAGCTACACAGAATAATATCTAAAGTGCCAACGTATTAATTTGGTTTATGTTCCTAATTCCGTATTGCTACGATTCTAGTCTCTTTTCGTTGTACTCGCCTTTCCGAGTAAACATTCTTCACTTTACTCAGTTGATAAAAACTAAATCACCGTTTTCGTAAAACCCTGGAAAAGCTGCGTCAATTTAACGGCAATTTAATTCGTTTACTTTCACTGACTCGAATAAGACAAATGGATGTTAATAAAGATAGGGATAAAATCTGTAGAACTTCTAGTTTCATTTTCAGAGTACCTAAACAGAAAATTAAATTATACACTAGTTAGTTAATTTAACAAAAATAGTTTTACAAGAGCCGCATTAAAAATGCGCCAATTTTGGTTTTTAATCGATTTATTAATGTTAATTATCCAATTAATTTAGTGTGCATGAAATGTTAGAGCCTCTAAATATTTCCTATAGAAAGCTTTGGGTCTAGTGCCGCTTACTTTCCCATTTATATTAATTTTTTTTTATTATACCTATAAAAAGGACAAAATAATTTTAGAAATTGCCTGTTATATTTCAAACTTTCATGAGCTTTCGCATGCACACGAAACGGTGACCCAGGTGTTAACCATGGGCCTCGCTGTACAACAAGAATTGAACAGCAAGTACAGGTAATTTGGAATGACATAATCCTTGGTCTTCTGTTGCGCACTCGTTATGGTTATATGGCTATATAGCGAAGCGTATGGTTGACAATAGAGTGCGTAAAGGCCCGTTTATTCTCGCTCACATTCATTACTTTTACGAATTGTTTCATTATCGTCGGCGTACAAAATAACCGGCAGTGCAATCCTTCCTTGCCCGTGTTCGCGTATGAAACTCCACCACAGCAGGTAGCGACGCCGCGTTACACAATTATCCTAGGTCAGGGATGGCGAACCAATGGCACGTGTGCCATTAGTGGCACGGGACACAATATTTTGGGCACGTCACTAATGTTTCTGTCATTGTTCTTTAATCAAGGAATTTTCAGCAAGATTTTCTCACTTCAGAGAATTATCGGAAATACCAATACGAAAGTTTATTATGTACCCTGATGTGACATTTGATAAAATAAATTGAAGAATCTGAAATGCAGCTGATTGATTTCCAGTCTAGTTCAATATGATTCAAAAAGTTGTTGGAACAAGGAAAGAGTTA